GCATAAAATTTGAATTCTATTTAGCAGGTGAATTTTTTTTTTTGGGGAATGATATCTCCCAAATCGATCTATTTCGCATTGATCTAATAATACAAATAAGTGCATACAATGCCCCAATAAGTGAAATCTAAATAAATAACGAAAAATTACAATGAAGATGGCATAATACCGAAACCGGTTTGTCTCCGAACTAAACTTTGACAAGAGATGACTGAACGTTCCAAACATACATACATTTGTACATTAAACTGGGTTCATCCCCAAACAAAAAAAATTTTTTTGAAATTAAGTACTCTCCTAGTTTGAAAGTTTGCTTTAAAGGATTTTAGGGCCATATCAATTTTCGTCCTTTGTGGGGCCTAGAAACAGCTGAGATGGATATTTTCTTCCTGACTTTTCTATTTATGACTCGATTTCAAAGAGTGATATAACGTTTAAAAGATGTTTTTGTGTAATATATATCCCTATTTTATTGTTATGTTTACAAAAAAATGCGAATTGCAAACTTTTTTGCGACACAGTCTAATAAACATACATATGCATGAATTTTAAGTTTTTGACAAATATAAAAGAAGTAACTACAAAAAGGAAAAGGGAGAAAAGCTGTCATGAACATTGTGTACCTGCATTGTACGAGTATGGCGATTTTCGCCAACTCGTGAAACGAAAAAAAAACACTAAAAATGAAGTTGCCAATTTTTCTTCTTAAAAGAGCTCACATTTCTATAGCTGCCCAGATGACTTGCCTACGAGTTTATTTGTTCAAATCTACCGCCAGTCGTGTAAAATGAAGTGGCCATTGAACTTCCAAGCGAAAAATACTATATATGTATTAAAATACATATATGTATACATATATTAATTCGATGCCAATCAGAATACATACAAGAATATATGTTCATATATAAATACATTTAGCGAAACGCATGTGAGACAGGCGTCTTATCTAGCATTTCATATTTGGAGCAGAGAAACGATAAGCACCACAGAAGTTGCCAAAAGACGAAAAAGCCACCATCTTTGCACTATGCATACTCAGATACACATTTATATAATATTCGCAGGCAAAAAAAAATTGTAGTTTTTGGTTTTCGCATCAATGGGCATTTGTCACTATTAGAAAGAAATCTGGAAGCTGCAGGAACTGCATTAATACAGTGCTGGGTAAAACATTTACATGTATGAAGATAGAAGTTTTTTAAGGGAAAGACGCTGCAAATAGGGGTCCGAGTTTTGATTCTCATCCACAAAATGGAAATGTTTCTCTAAAAAAAGGTGGTTCTCTAAAAAAAGCGGCTTGATTATACAAATGTTTTAAGAAGCTTACCAGTCACACAAAGAAAATACTTCTGTGCCAGATTTGCCAGATTTTCACAAGTCGTAATTTTGTTTAGAAGGTTACAGGGGGTTGACCCATATATGCAACTAAATTTGTGTCTTTGGTCTAAGAGTAAATGTGGGATAATCGCTGAATAAATACTTAAGTTTCTTCGCCCAGCATCCCATGAATATCAGCATATACACTCAACACTTTTTCTCAATACTGTATTGTGCCCTTCACAAAGAAATTTTATGAAAACAAACTGCAAAAAAATTAAGTTGGCAAGCGTTATACATACGTACATACATATGTGTGTAATCCCTGTTTGTTGTGTGTTCGATTATAGAGCGATAAGAAATTGTTGCCAAATCGATACGGGAATACTTCGACAGTTTTGGTTGCAGTTACGAATAGTAAAACTTAATAAAAGTAAAAATATAGGCGGAATAGTACGACAAGACATTAGTTATGAAGCATTGCTTATTTACGACCAGATGCCGTTAGTTAAGGAGTCGGAAATGTTGGAAAATTTATTGCCATAAAATATGTGCTGTGTGTAAATAGAGACATTAATTATATAAATTTGGGTATGTATTTTATTTTGTAAACATACCAACTACATATGTATAGCGATATAAAGAAAATAACTGCCTATTAAATACATATATTCATATCTAAATAGTATAAAAAATGTGTATGTATCCCAGAGCGAGAGCCACCGTAATTTATTTACATGCATATGTGTCAATTACAGATATTATGAAAGTCAAAAATGGAACCCAACTATAATTGATGCTATTTTTTGCGATATCTGGAGGTCTCTACTTGGATTCTCGTGAGCATAATCCATTTTTTTATGGGGCCGTAATACTCAGGAGATATGCACATGTAGGCCAGTAAGCTGCAACTCGCGAGTTGGACATTGCCATTGGCAGTTAAATGTATCACCCTGAAAGCCATTGATGTGTAGTTTATTAAGCTTAGCTCTCTGGCAAACTTTTGTCAAGCTGGCCATAGCGTAACATTCTTATCGTGGATAATGAGAAAACAGTGAATTTTTAATGTTTGAGATATTTTTCTGTAATTGTAAAGAATTGCGCATCCACAGAGAACCGCTAGTTCCGATACGTTTATCTTTTTTTTACTCGCAGAATTGCGCAACAAATAACTTGTAAATTTTATATAGGTATCGAATTGCGGTAAAACTGGTATCGATAATCATATTGATGAAAATATCGATGAAAAATAATAGATGCGCATCGATAAGATATCGTAATGAACAAAAAAATCTATAGTGGTACCGGCAGATACATATCGTTGCCTTAATATAGAAAGGCTCTAACTCATTTTTATTTTCTTTCCAACTTCAGGTTTGTTCAAAGTTAGGTAAATTATCTACTCACTAAAGGCCTAATCGAATTCAAGAACATCTATTACATTAGCAAATTAGTTTCAGAGCCATTCCATTGTGACTAGTAGGACATTTTACTATATTGGCCAAGATAACTTTGAAAGTTCTTTGTTAATTTTTCTGAAATTAGCTTTCGCAAAAACATATCTAAGTAGTACTTGAACTATACAACTTAGTATTATGTATTTCATTTAAGATTTTGTAGCTTAACTCAAGAGCGCGATGGTATGCATCCTCTGGCAAAACAAGGGGATCACACTAGGGATGTTAATTTTTTCGGCTTTTTCCGATCCCGGGATTTTCGGGATGGCCTTGTCACAATCCCGGCATCCCGGGATTAGTCTCGGGATTTAGATATTCATTACTTTTCAACAACTTGAACCGAAAAAATTGCATCTATATTGTTTGAGAAGCTCTCCTACCATGAAATAAATAATAAGAAATGGGTTTGCACCTACTTTTTTTATTTAAAGTGGCGTTTTTATTTTTTCTCTCTGACCGCAGGATTTATTTTGAAGAACTTTGTAATTTTAAAGATATGATAAATTCCAAAAATTGTTAAAAAAAATTCAATGCAATGTAGAATAAAAATATGGGTAACAAATGGAATAGGAAATTTCTTTACAATTTAAAAAATTTAAATATTTTGCTTTCACAAGGACGAATAGGAAATTTTTAAGCTGACAAAGTTAGAAGAACGCAAATCGAGGATGTTATCGAGTTTATATAAGCCCTTAACATATATTTTTTGTCAAAAACAAATTATGCGAAATTTCAAGGATAAAATTTTAAAAAGACATTTTCAATATTTACTAGTCCTTCTGCTCCAGAAACTTGAATCTGCTTAAATTCTAGAGGATTTCCTCGTTAATTTTATACCCATACTTCTTCTCTAAGCACATTTCTCTGAATTTTATAAATCATTTTTAAATTACTGACGTAAGAGTGAAAAATTAAAAAGATACCAAAGGCAGACTGAGGAAATCGCCAAGTTGAAGTATTTTCATGTTGCGAAAGCTGCAAATATTAATTTTAATGACAAGTTCCAGACCACAGACAATGCCATGCATTTGCTGGACAAAGGTAAGGTATATAGCCTACTAAAATGGCTTCATGCATACATATATAAATTGTCATGTTTAATACTTGCACAAAAAAAAAAATAAAGAAAAAGAAATAAAAAACCATAAATTCCCAAAAATGCCTTCGTTTTCGAGAGTTAGTTTTTTTAAGAATTTTTTCTTAGGAATTCAGTTTTTGAAAAAAAATTGGATGCATCATAATATAGAAACGACAGATGTGTTCCTTAGGTTCCTATTGGCGTTTAGTCAATATCGTCACCTGAAATACAAAAAGACGTAACAAACATCATCGTTGAAATGCAAAAAGTCATAACTAATAAAAAATTCAAAATTCACTTTTTGATTTATATGATGGATTTCATCGAATTACAACTCCCCACATTATTTTATGAAAAAATATAAAATAAAATAAAAATGAAATATTAGTCACGACTTTTTCCATTTTATTTCAGGTGACGATATAATTAATGTACTTATTACATTGCGTCTTGCTTATCAGAAGGATAATTTAACGAGCATTTCAGAAGCATAACAAACTTAAAAAAAGTAAGACAGTCGGATCTGATCCCTCACCGATCGTTAGAACTCTAATAAATAAAAGAAGTAATCATAAAATCTCAAGATAAACCTTATAATTAAATTTTGTTTGCTTAATTTTTGTGTGGAACTCATTAAAGTAATATAAACAACTTCTTCTACATTTTTTCGCTTCGCACACTTACTTATTGCTTAATTATCCATGAACTTGTAAACATATGAAGCTATGCTCCCATCAAATTAAAGTAGACATGTATTTAGCTATGAATTCTAATTAAGCGTGACAAGGCATTAACAAATTCATGAAGTAAATATTGCACAAACGAACAAGTGAGTGCCCTCATATATGTAGTAGTTCATAATTACACCTCTTGGGCTCATACATATGTATGTATGTATGTATGTACATACACAAGTCAATAGAATTTATAAAAGCATGTAAGCAAATACATATCGTCGCCTGGGTAAACGATTGTCGTATGTTACGCACGTACCGATGACGCTTACGACAATCTTTTACTCAGGCGACGATATGTAGATACATATACGAAAGCGCATTGATAAATATTCATAAGTATGCATGTTAAACGTACAAAATATATACATACACACATATATAAACTTTATGGTTTTGGTAGATTGGACTTACCGCGACGATTGAAGGGTCGCACCCTCACAGCAACTTTGATCTTATCGGTTGACATGGTGTACGTATGAGTAAGTTTGTATTCCTCTCGGTATGAACCGGTTTACACTCTCCACGTTGTCGTCAATGTGAGCCTTTATGTACACGCGAATGTTTCCTATTTGCTTTGTGGCTATGTGGTTTTAGTGCCACAATGAATGGAATGGTGGCAGCAGCAGAAATTATTAAAAAAAAAAAACAAGGTTATACTCTAAAAAGAGTTTTTCTTTTGCGTGCTGTTAGTGACGTTGCTGTGCTGCTGGTGACGTCCTCCAAAAGACGATTATTCTAACGCATGGGCGTTGAGGGAGTACGGTGAGTGAACTCGTTCGTGTATATACTTATCCTTTTGAATACGTTTCAGTGGCTCAAAGCTTTAGCTAGACAAGAGCCTGGTGAATGTTCGAATTGTTGTCGACTTTGACGGCAACGGAAACAACGCGTTGACGATATGAATGACGGTTGCGATGAACGATAAATGCGGAGAGAATGACAGACCACGCGACGGCTTTACGGACCGCTAACGATGACGGCGTTGGAACCTTGTGACGCGTTAACAATCAGCGAATTTTCTATTAACTTTTGCTTCGTATGCGCCTCAAAGCGCTCTAAGCACTGCGCCGCACCTTACACATTCTCCTAGTATTACACAAAAATCAAGTGGAATTTGAATGGAATACACTTTCTGCGTTTTGCTTGAAATATTTTTGCACTTATATTCTTTTAATTTTTTTTCATTTTTATTTCTTTACTATTGTGGTTTAGTTGTTTCTTTTTTACACATACATATGTACTTATACAGCAAACAGGCTTTATTTACTTCAATTGCGCCATGGCACCTATGTATGTATGTATGTAGAAATAAATGTAATGAATAAAATATATGTATGAAGACTTCGAGGGCCGCGGGCAAAACCCAGCAAGGATTTATTCAATGATATGAAACACAAACAAAAATTATTTTATTGCGGCGTAATGTGTTGTGGAAACGGCTTGTGATCAGACATTCCTAGTTGGGTCTCGCATTGTTCTGATGATGATGATGATTATGATGGACAAGCAAATATGGCTTTTGTCAGTTTATTGTTTGTTATGCTTTTGGGTGACTCACACTTTCGAGTGATTTCAATTAAATTAAAAGCTATGGTTTAGCCAGCAGTGGGTGACACAAAAACCCGAAGCAAAATGTCTTGGTAAACAGAATTGTGGTTATTTAGTCTGTAAGTTTGTGTAAATCGTAAGGAGTGTACTCATATCCAAAGCTATTAAAATTTTTAGAAAACTTTTACTGGTTTTGCGTTTTCGTATCCAAAAAACTTGCAAAGTAGGGAAAATTGAGAGAGCAAAATGTGATAGAGAGCTGCAAATTTCTGATGGGAAAATTATTACCAGCGAAAACTTGCAAGTAAGAAAATCAGCTGAAGAGAAACACTTGTTTGTAAATAAACAAAAGAAAATATGGCCTTTTTGAGTTATTTATTGAAAAAATTTTATTATTAATGCTAGTAAACAATGAAAAAGTGTGTAAATTTATTAAGCACAACGTTTGTTGAGTTTATTTTTCGTTAATTTCCTATCAATCTAGGGCTGCCATAATTGCTGGGCCTCAACCGGGGAACCTTAGCAAAAAAAAAATTAATTATTTTTAAAGGTTTAGTCAAACTCTAGTTTATTCAAATCATCTTTACACTTATAATCTTCTTCGATTGCAGAGGAAAACTTAGTTGATGCTCTGTTGTAATACATACAAAAACGGAATTGCAAAAACCATAATAAATTGAGATAAGAAAGACATTTTCACTGAAAGAACGTATTTTATTATATATGTATGTACATAACTATGCCATGAGAACATTTCTGCGTTTTAAAGTATGCATATATAAATAAACAAAACAATAACCAGTAGAGATCAAAGACAATTTTTGTTCAGTTCAGGAACGTATTTGTACTTCTTAATGTAAGTGGAAGCAAACAAAACAAGAACTAGTTTAACACATTTTTATGTAATACCATGTTCTAACCGACATCGAAAACATGTTTTCGTTGATAAAACTGGTTTTCGACCTAAAACTTGTGTTTTCGTCCATGTAAAATCTATCAAACGAAAACCAGCTTTCGCTGAAAACTACTTGAAAACTCACGTTCAATGCGCCAGTTCGGATTTATTGTTAATTGGCTGGCCAAACTAAAATAAGAATAAAAGTAAAAGGTTGTGAATGAAAATAAAATGAAAGAAAAAAATTCTGGTTTTGTTTTGTTGTAGCAAAACTGTAAACAAAGGATGTAAGAAATGTCAACGAAAAACACTAACAGCAGGTGTGAACAGCCTTCAGCTAACAATCCCTAAACTCGTTTTCAAAGTGTTTTCGTTGTCGGTCAGAACATGGTACAACTAACGCATATTACATGTTCACTTTCGAATCCGCGTATTACGGGCGGATTAACTATATTTGGGCGAAACTCACGATACGAATATATAATTTAGCGCCAACCACTTAAAAATTACAACAGCAAATTAAATTTTGTTGTCCCAAGCATTATGCGGCGTCATTTTGGTTGTAAACGGGAACACAGGGACCGAAACGAAGACATGTCCCTGAAAACAGGGACGTATGGCAGCCCTATATTAGTCCCCTTTCAGACACGTCAAGTCTTGAAAGTAATTTTTTTCGCATTCTCTTTTGTGTTTTCTATTTGCTTCCACACGCGTCAACTTTAATTGAATTCAAGTCCTTGGTTCTTTAAATGGGAAGCAACGAAAAGATCAAAAGAGACAAGAAAACTTGAGACGAATTGACGGTACGGAGGTATCTGTACTCTTCCCCTCTCTTCTCACCTCCTTCGCCAACGAACGAGCAGACTTGAAGGCAAGACTTGACGTGTCTGAAAGGGGACTTAGTCTCCAGTTCATTTACTTTAATGTGTGCCGTCTATGGTTGCCGTATGACATTTTTCGTTTGTACCATAATTTTCCTTTAAATATACAAAAATAGATTAAAATGGAACATGCGAGTGTCATTGTGCATGTTTTTATCTTCATCGAATTTCCAATCACCCTATACCGATGAAAAAAGTTCTTTACAGTGGCGGATTCAGCGGTGGGGAGTTTTGGGGTTGAACTACGTGTCAGTCAGTGGCGGACCCACGGGGGTGTTTTAGTATAGCGCATATGTATGTATAATATGGCGTCTATGTATTAAAAACCCCCGTGGGTCCGCCACTAACTGACACCGAGTTTAAGAAGGAAGCTCAATCGAGTACAGCTGAAGATCTTCCCAATGTCAGGGCGCTACGCTTTGGTTGTAATCAGGGAAGCCAACTCGTGGGGAATTCTCCGATTTGCGGGAATTTCAGTTTGCGTGGGGAATTGGGGAATGGACCGTTTTTGTGGGGAATTTAAGACGCTGTGACATAAGCAATTATGTACCTAATATTTTAGTATTTTGTTACTTTTGAATTGAATTGAAATTTATTAGTTCGTCCTTAATCAAAAACTGTATAATTTTAAGTTTCAAACTTTGTGCAATATTTAAATAACAAATTCAACGAACTTTTGTTAAAATTTCGAGTTTTATAATTAGATTTTTTAGAAGATTTTGAGTATACAGTTTTGTTGATTGTTCAATTCTAGTATAAAAAGGTCTCAAATGGCTAAAAATTGCCGTTTAATTTTTTTATAATATTCTTTGTAGCGTTCGGTTTCATATAACGAATAAACGCAATTTATTTTGGTATGGATGAACACCGCTACACCTTCGGTAAAAAATCCTTAAACCAAAAAATTTAGCCACTTGAAACTTGCACTTTATTGCACTAGAACTGAGTGAGCAACAAAACAGAACACTCAACATCTTTCTAGAGTCTAATTATAAAGCTCGAAATTTTTACGAAAGTTCGTTTAAATTGTTTTTTAAATATTGCACAAAGTTTGAAACTTAGATTTATATGGTTTTTGGTTAAAGATGAACTATACTTTTATAAAAAAATTACTCAAATTAAATAACAAAAATAAATAATAATAGTTGTGAAAACTTATCAAAATTTTGGTGACTAATTTTTTTTCGACCAATGTATATATGTTAATATTATATGTACATTTTTTATACTTTATTTGTAAACAAACTTTATAAATCCTTGGATTGGTTTATGAATACATAGATGAATTACATTTAAAAATAAAGTAAACCGAAAGACCAGTAATATATCAAAACACATACCTATGGGTGGGGAATTTTAAGAAATTTCGGGCAAAATCGGGGACAATCGCCGAAATCTCAAAAATGAGTTGGCTACCCTGGTTGTAATATCATTAGATATTTTTTGGCTTATGGCACTGCGAATGCTGTGCTTTATTTTCTTTATTTTTTAAATAGTCGGTAATTTATAATTTTCCCTTGTTTTTTTTTTTTGAATGTTTTAATACCAACTACATACATATGTATGTACATATGTACATATGTACACATTATAAAATGCGGAACATATGCATACCAGCAGCATAACCATTTCTACGACTTACTCCAATCCTTAGCAATACGATTCGCTGCTGTGTGCAATGTTGAAGGACACCAATTCGCGCAGCAAGGTGCGCAGTTCGCGTGTCAACACCAGCGTTCATTCGTTAAGTCAGTACATTTCCTTGAATGGGGTTTTTACTTATGCTACCAAATTCCTGCTAATATTTGCTCAAAATTAGAATGTTTTCTCATTCATTAGCATGACACTAAAATATTTACAAGGTAAACTCCATACAAGCACACAATCAGAAGTGAATATATATGTATATGTATATATAAGCGCTTATTTATGCCTCAGAGAATTGGCTCAGTTTCTGATGCATACTTCCCTTAGTTTCGTAATTTCTCCAACGGCTTGTAAAGTGGTAAAGTGGTAATATTGAATGCTAAATGATTTATCATTTATCGTATTGCAATAGAGTGGAAGCCAGCATTTTCTTTTGCAAATTTATTTTTCTTCCGTATGTGAATTTTCTTTGATGCACCTCTAATTTCCTATTCATTAGAAACAACGCTCCACTTTTTCACAGCTTCACAATTGCAGAAGTTCAATTGCAGCCACTCCACCAAATCAAAATGGGTGTAGATATTGCATAGCTATTTACAATGTCGCCACCCACCCTCGCATAGTTGAAACTTGCAATGTGAAAAAAGGAATGAACACCAATGGACAACCCAACAAAGGAATGAAAGAGCAGGCCCCCCTTTTCAACCAAAAACACTCAGCAAACAACAACAGCTATCACTTTTCTGCTGTTTTGTGCTTTGTGCTAAAACTTTTCTCATACGCTTATGTACATATGTATGTATGTGTATATTCCTTCACTGTCTTTATGAATCGATTTTATCGCTGTTTTGGCAAATTTTTCTTGTTGTGTTTCAACGCCTTAAATTTGCTAATTTTCACATTAAATTCAAACACTAATGCATTTAACGTATACACAAATCGTGTCTGATGGCTTTGGACGAGTACTGATTAAGTTTTTGCAAATAAATTTAGTATTTTATTGCACTTTTTCACAATTTTTTAGCAGGTAAATTAGCGACGTACAAAAGAAAACACTTGACACGAGCGCCATATTTGATAGACAGACTCTTTCTGGCTACACGAACAACTGACAACTAGAAAACAGAAATGTCATCGTCTGTGTGGAATTTGGAATGTCATTGGAATGCACTACCGGAAGTCATTGTACTGAACTACAGGAAGTACAGGGTGATAAACACATTTCATTTGCAACATTTTGGAGTTGCAGAGTTGCTTTAGCGGGCCAAAGAAGAACATGAACTGAATTGGAAAGATCGCGGTTGCCAGCTTCATACAATTCTGCCAAATTTGGGAATTTTTGTCTCCATTTGGGCCTTTTTTGTTTGTTTTGCGACACTTTGAAGCAACGTTCGTTTGAATTCGACCAAAGAACGTAAATGTATTTACGTTCTTTGCGACAACCAACTATTATTAACACCGCCTTTTAGGCCTTGTATATTGTGGCGAATACTGCGGCAAGACAAAGCGAACAACGAGAAATAGGCAGAATGTTAGAGGAATGACGTAGAATGTTCCACAAAGAGAAACGTCAAGTTGGATGAACACTGCGAACAGCGAGAGAAAGAGAATAAGCGATAAACTTCAGAATGTTCTAGAGTTGCCATAAGTGCCAGCGCAGGTATATAAGGGCGCCGCCACAGCGAGGTGGGACAGTTACAAGACAGCAAGCTACAAGTAAAGTGAGCAGAGTAGTGAGTTGCGAATAAGCAAGATATAAGTTTAATTGTGTTACCAAGTTTAGTTAAGCGCTGTTATTGCTTTAACAAGTATTGTAAAGTGTTTTTACTGTATTAGCGAGTATTGTAAATTGTTTGTTGTACAATAAAGTTAATTGTACTACAATTTGGTCATCGATTGCATTTATTTAACAATCCAGCGATACGAACCGAGGTATTTGGGAAATCCGGACGAGGTTTCAAGGATAATCGTAACAATATTGTAGTACACAAAATTTTGAATAACTGGCAACTGTGGGAAAAATGTTCTCAACCGGTTTAATTCAATTTCCAACACTCGGCGACATCTGCCGGCGATGCTCGGTGAACTTTTACTTTCCTACTGTAGATGTCGCATGAAATGCGCTGATGATGACAGCGAGTAACTATGGGTTTGTTTCTTTTCTTTTCGAGCAGATAATTAGGAAGAAGAAGAATGAGAGAATTGAAAGAATTACGCTCACAGAGAGCGAAATATCGAAAAAGTAAAGAAATGCAAAACTACCAGAAACTAGCAAGTAATCAGCTGATCGGTGTATTTGACTATTGAAAATATTTGACGCGAATTTTTGTCTATCCATTTTGACAGCTGCTAGTTTCTGCTAGTAAAATTTTAGCAGGAGAGCCACAAAAGAAGAGCGCAAGAACGAGAGAGAGCTGCTAGTTTCTGTTAGTTTTTTTGAAATTAGTGTTAATTATCTGTTAAGAAACAAAGCTTATACTGTTATACTTTTTAAATTAGTTTTGCATATAAAAATATACATATGTATGATTTCACACAACTATGAACCCTTAAGGACCGGTTACTCATGTCTGGTTAACACTAATCTGCGGTTAAACATCGTTATCGACGTCTTCGACTCCATGCAAATAACAGGGAGTCGGTAACGTCGATAACGATGTTTAACCGCAGATTAGTGTTAACCAGACATTGAGTAACCGGCCCTAAGCACGACAAATGCCGGTTAATTCTGATTCTGGTAAAACATTACGGTTCAGTTTTCAAATTAAAACAAAAGTATTTGTAAAAAAGTTTTCCTTGTGAAAGTTTTTTTCACAAAGTTTTATCAAATTTTCGGCTGTGAAAGAGAAAATGAGGGCATTTTTAACCGACTTCCAAAAAAGGAGGAGGTTATCAGTTCGTCGGAATATTTTTTATTTTTTTTAATTTTATTTTTTTTTATGTATGTTACCGCATAACTTTGCACACGTCAACCGATTTCAATAATTCTTTGCAACGGAAAGGTAGTGTCTCAGAGGTGGTCCCATACTAATTTGGTTTAGATCCGATCATTGGATCATGAAATATATATATATATATATAGGATATATATATATTTTTAAGTCGGTTTTTTTTGCTAAAAATTACTTGTTTCAAAAAGCTTCTTATTTTAGGCAATAATCTGAGTAAAATTCCTCATATTTTTCTTACATAGGGTATTTAAGAATGTAGCAAATTTAGAAATCTTAGTCCGGAAACTTTACTTTAGTTCAGTATTGGCCAGAGAGAGCTTAAATATATCAGAGACGAACAAAACATGTGTACATATCTCGCGAGAGAAACTTTTCCCAACTTTTGGCTTGCAGAATTTTGCCCATCACTGATATAAAAAAAAAAAAACTTAAAAAAGCTCGGTTTGCATTCGCATGGAACAGGCAAAGCGTTTTCAAATGCCATAGCGAAGTTCACGTTTTTAAAGAGCATATTAAAGTTCTTAAGGAAAATCAATTTCTAGGAAGTCAATCGCAGGTGTCATTAGGGAACACATACATATCGCTACTTAAAGGTGAAAGGTGTCAAGCGCATTTTTTTTAAGTTAGTTTTTGATGCAGAATGGCACGTAATACAAAACTACATTGACTTTTCGTCTCTCCTAAACAATTTCAAAAACATGGACTTGGCTTGGATTTGTGGGGTGGTTTTGTGTTATGCAGGGACCTTCAAATGCGGGTCTGGGTAAGTTTGGATATAACCTATAATTGTGCCAAGGTGATACGGTTATTTTCGGGCAGCTCAACATCAATATGTAAAAAATTATACAGATGCGGAAAGGATACCACCTAGTTGGATCCCCTGTTCTGTTTAACATTTCCCGATTCTTATGTTTGATCTTGAAAAGTTACCACTCAATGATTCTAAGTCCATCCGTTAATCGCCCGCGGGAAAGAGACGACCTCAATGCCTTCTAGTGGCGTGGAGTAGCAGATGGTGTATAAAAACTTCGACAAGTCTTAGGCTAACATGATGGTTCTCTCACAGCTGCGGTGACGATTGAAGCTTCGAGTCATCTTGGTATTGAGGGCGTTAAGTGCTGTGGTGGTGCGGTCTACGTTAAAAAAGCCATATTGATGTTTTGCTTATACGTACACCTTGTTAGGCAAAACGTGATAGCTTCCGTACGTCTTCGTACAGGTCGTTCGGCCGAAAATATTTCTGCTGTGAAAAAAAAGTGTGGACCAGTCCGCTAAAATTTCCATTCATCATCGTGCACAACAATTGAACATTTTCTACAGTGTCGTTTAGCGGTTTGAAAAGATACCTATTTTAACATGCTGAAGCTTAGAGACCATTTATAGTGCCGTATGCTTCAACAACAAGCACATGATGCAGATTTTTCAAAAAATAAACACCAAAAGCGATAAGGCACTTAAATGAAAATGATGCTGATAACGCTGTTACGGTGACCATTATCGTTACATGATAACAAACTTTTTATAAGATGACTTGAATTTGGACAAAATGTGGGGTCCACAGGACTGTACTACTTGCCACGAAGTGCATGAAACAATGGCCCTATTGCAAACGACGAGGCCAAATGGCCGCCGATATCTTGTGATTTCACACCATTAGACGTCTTTAATAAGCCCAAGACGATTCCAGTGAAATATGCCAAAAAGTCATTTTGATACGTGCATCCTGTGTTGCCAGAGGAGTCGTGGTGAGAAATAAAAAAAAACATTTAGACAAATTTTATTGTGTTTTGTTTGTAAAAGAAAATCTGCGATCGCATTGAATCACCCTATATTTTATCTGTGGTATAATATTTTTTGTTTTTTAGAAAATCGGGATGTTTAGAAATAATTTCAATATACATACATAGTTCAATTTAAGACCGGATTTTATAATACGATTGCAGAAAGAGCAATTTTGTTGGGTAGAGTAGGGTAAAAAATCCGTATAGTATCTTACTATTTTTCTTACAAATTCATATACTTGTATGTTATGAAATCCTGTCAATATTTCTTGTCATTTCTTCTTTCGTCATATCAGGGTCAAAACGTCAATGCTCGGTGAGCTTGCCAATCCCAGCTAGTTTATTGGCCTTCAGACGAAGAGTTTTGAAGCAATCAATAAATCTGATGTTAATACAATTTACTAGTACTCGTAAGAACAGAATGAAGTCTTGAATGTATACATACCAGATGTGCGTGAGAAAAAAATAAAGTTTTTAATAACAGGCAAACCAGAAAAATAAGAGGAAGACAACGTGCAAGGACTTGTGCAACCACAATGCATTGAATGACCTAGTGGACAAACATACCTACATCTTAACATGTTAATTTTCTTACGCGTACATATATGTATGTATGCATGCACGTACAGATGTGGTTGTTGTTAAAACATAAATTATTATACAATGTGATCGTGTGGCTTGCGTAATTATTTCCGGAATTTTTCTTTAGGCTGGCCATTATAGTAGAAGTATGTACATATGTACATACATACAAAGTATGTAAATAAATAAAACTAGAAGAAATTATATAAAAATCTAGATATACGTACATACATTTATATTTGCATTTAGAACATATTTGCATTGTGAACAACCTCTATGTTATTGGAAATGATGAACAAGCTTTGATGTGTAAGCGATTAAAAGTCAATTCAGTTCAAATGTTTCATATTTTTTGTTATTGAGACTTACTACTTGTTTTTTCACACAACACAAACATATGTAATACATACTACGTATGTACATTAGGGTGCATCAATCTTCATCCAAAAAAAAAAAAACGCTACTGTTTTTCCCTCGGAATTTAAAACTTATTATATTTTAAGACTCAACAAAATATTTCGGTAAAATATAAAGACTTGTATGAGCTGGACCGATTTGAGAATAACTTCAAAAATTATATTACATATTTTGATGCTGTTAGTAAAATGTTCAAACATTTTTATACAGACCTTTTGAGCGTTAAGTCTTCTATCACCTGCCATTTTTTTGGAAACAAATTAAAAAAAAAATAATAATTTTATTTATAAAAAAACTCGATTTTTTGAGCTCATTTAAAACCGGCCTAGCTCACGTAAATTTTAATATTTTTCCGAAAGATTTTGGCGTAAGTTTTTAAATATAATAGCTTTTATAATTCCGGTCGAAACAGCACGACTTTTTTGGTGAGGCATCCTAATGTAGATATATACATGTATGTATGAACTTTGGTACCAAAAAGCCGATTAATCTTTATTTAATACGATTATTAGGGATTCCGGATACCAAGTAAAAAATAAGAGCCGGATTCGGATATCCGATCGGATATCCGGTAG